GATTTGCAACGGTGTAATTCACACAAATCACCACAGGAGGGCGACCCCGTTTATTACACTTGATTTGCAATGGTGTAATTCACACAAATCACCACAGGAGGGAGAAATATTTCTAAGTTTATTTAGACTCTATTTGCAACGATGTAATTCACACAAATCACCACCACAGGAGGGCACAACACTTTAATGTTTATTAGACTTCGTTTGCGTCAGTGTAATTCACAGAAATCATCACAGGAGGGCGAAACATTTTTAAGTTTATTTAGACTCGATTTGCAACGGTGTAATTCACACAAATCACCACCACAGGAGGGCGAAACACTTTTACATTCATTGGACTTATATTGTTTTGGTGTTTTTATTTGCAAATATATCTATTTGAATTTTGAACAGAAGACAGGACGGAACATAGATAGTGTAAATAGTTCTGTTTGGAAGTTCGTTTTTCTCCTCTCACCCTCTTACAGAAGTGTAGCGCATTTACACTAGCTCGTTAGACGATATAGTTCACGAAGATCTCGGCAGGTGGGTTAAGCCGATTTGCAGTAATGTCACCACAAGAAGGTGAAACACTTTTGTGTTTATTTAGACTCGATTTGCAACGGTGTAATTCAGACAAATCACCATAGGAGGGCAAAATATTTTTAAGTTTATTTAGACTCTATTTGCAAAGGTGTAATTCACACAAATCACCACATGAGGACATTTTTATTTACCAAAAATTGACAGATAAGAGTGGAAGAGCCAGTGGCTTAGTGGTCTGAGCGTTAGCTCTTGGCGTGGGCAATCCAGGTTCAAATCTCTCTTGGGGTGTTTAGTTTCATTGGTTTTTCAACAAATAAAAAAGACAAAATTACCAAAAATTGATGAGCAAGAGTGGAAGTGCTGGTGGCTTAGTGGTCTGAGCGGTAGATCTTGTGGTGGGCAATCCAGGTTCAAATCTCTCTCTTGCGGTGTTTAGTTTCATTGTTTTTTCAACAAATAAAAAAGACAAAATTACCAAAAATTGATGAGTAAGAGTGGAAGTGCTGGTGGCTTAGTGGTCTGAGCGGTAGATCTTGTTGTGGGCAATCCAGGTTCGAGTCTCTCTCTTGTGGTGTTTAGTTTCATTGGTTTTTCAACAAATAAAAAAGACAAAATTACCAAAAATTGATGAGTAAGAGTGGAAGTGCTGGTGGCTTAGTGGTCTGAGCGGTAGAGCTTGTTGTGGGCAACCCAGGTTCGAGTCTCTCTCTTGTGGTGTTTAGTTTCATTGGTTTATCAACAAATAAAAAAGACAAAATTACCAAAAATTGGTGAGTAAGAGTAGAAGTGCTGGTGGCTCAGTGGTCTGAGTGTTTGATCTTGGTGTGGGCAACCCAGGTTCAAATCTCTCTCTTGTCGTGTTTAGCTTCAATGGTTTTTCAACAAATAAAAAAGACAAAATTACCAAAAATTCATAAGTAAGAGTGGAAGTACCAGTGGCTCAGTGGTCTGAGCATGTCCTCCTGGGGTCAGAAGGATCTGGGTTCAAACCCCAGCCTGGTATGTGAAGCATGGTTGCGTGAAGGACATCCAGTCGTGAGCTGTGACAAGCTGCAAAACTGAGCGGATCAGGTCATGACCAGGATGAGAGAAGGCAGGACACGAAGGGGGGAGTACATATCCAAACCGCTCCCCCTGGGACTTCCAAGACAATCTCGAGCAGCGGTTATGTAAAAGGAGTCCAAATTTTCGAAAAATTACTTGTAAAATTTTTCCAAAAAAGCCTAAGTCAACATTTTGGGCATGGCTTATGGACACTCCTCCCTTTTGGGCGTGGCTTATGGACACTCCTCCCTTTGGGGCGTGGCTTATGGACACTCCTCCCTTTGGGGCGTGGCTTATGGACACTCCCCTTTGTCATGGCTTATGGCCACTCCCCTTTACTGTTGATTGTACCTGCACTCCATCAAGGTTCAAATCTCAGCTGTTGCTTTCATGGGGAAACCAACCAGCACTTGAAAGGCATTCCCACTTACACACATGCTGAAAAATTCAGACTACAAATACATTAATAAACTGGATTTGTAATGAGGAAATCTTAACTGGTCTGTTTTATCTTGGCAATCATTAAATTGCAAATCAGTCACAGCTTGTCCAAATTAATAGACAAACTAAACCACGTGGGCCACACATCATCTGAATAATTAGTTAATTGACTGATCAACAGAGTCAGTAACAGCAGGTGTTGATGTTTAGAAAGCCAAGATCAGCTGGAAATCATGAACAGCACACAAATGTCACATTTACCATTTTATTGGACACAAACTGGAGTAGATCATTGTCAAAAACATGCCAGTTCAAAACAGAAACAGGTTGAGTCAGGAAAAGGCTCAGATGCATAACAGTTCGGCGGTTGCTCCTCTCAAAATACTCCATGCAAAGTCACTCACTGCTTTTCCTCATGACCTCCAGCAGCTCAAACCAAGAGATCCCTACAAACAGACAGCAGTGAGACAATCAGAAACACTTCAAATTTCACTAATAACTTCCCCTAGGAAGCTACAAATCTCAGAAAGAAACAAAGTGATTGTTTATAGAATAAATATAGATCATAGGAGGTGAAAACGCATGCTCATTTTATGAGCAATTAAACCAATGCAACAGCATCTGTAAGATATCAATCAAGCTACAAAATAGAATTAAATGTCACTTTGATGTTAATCCAAAACAACAAGTTAACATACAGACTCCTTCTACGAGCTATACAAGTATTTTACAAGTATTTTGCAAGTATTTTACAAATATTTTACAAGTATTTTACAAACCTGTTCCAAGAGCCACACCAACATTGCACACCCTCGACGTCTTTCTTATCTGACCCATATATGTCTGGTTTTGGAGTCTCTACTAACGAGCTGATGAGTCGATTCAGGTGTGATTGATTAGGAAGAGTTGGAAAATGTGTTGTGTTTAACCACTGAACCATCGTGGCTTTCACAATATCATCTGTTGTTTGGTGCAGTTTGTTGGATATGCATTTTAACATAGGCAATCTAAGATTCAAACGCAACCATTTATTTATTGAACTCTTTTGAGTTTATTGAGGGCTTTGTTTTCTGTGATAAAAATATTAGCAACTGTGGGATTTGGACCAAGAACTGAATGAAAGACAAATGATTAGCCACTGAGCCACGGCATTTGTGATGTTTGATATGGTTCATTGTGGTTGTTTTTTTAGTTTAGCAACAGCATTCATTAAAACAACAATTTATTGTTCAGCTGCTAGAGCGTTTTTTTACAGGGTTGGAGATAAACTCAGGAAAGTGGCTCGTCAGGAGCAGGATTAGGGACTTTTTTTTAAATCTCTTTCCTCTTCATGCTGTTTTCATATATTAATGCAGATACACTTAGTGTCCACAAGGTGGGGTACATGAACACATTAATCTGGTCTCTGGTTTCATGCACACATGCCTGCTCTCCATCCAGGATTCTCCAAACACTTGTCCTATGTAGAGAAGCTGGAGTCTGTCTGAAGGCAGAGAAACACAGGACACTGAGTCTGTTATATTAGGCAGTAAAAAGCGTCAGGTGGGGAACTTGGATACTTGAATGACAAAAAAAAGGTATTTTACCACCCTTCGGGTGCTTTAGAATAACTCTTCCTTACAATATGATAGAGACATAATTCTTTTTTCCAGTGTTTGCTGACATGTGCTGGAATCAACCAAAACTGTCTGCATGGTGCTAGAGCACACAGGGCCTGAGATCTACACTTTCAAAAATGAATTTATAACCTAAAAATCAAAAAGCGTCTTTTTTGTTTTTGTTTATTATAACACAGACAACATACACTAAAATATTTACCACTTTCAACAGTGTTTTATGAAATGACAAAGGGTTTTCTGTAATATGACACTGGAATTTTTGCATTTATAGCATTGCATATGGGTATGGGGGGACTTTAGATCTTGGTAGGCGGAAATTACAACAAAAAAGGTAATATTCCTCCCTTCAGATACATTGAATAAATATTAAAATAAAACATGATACAGACAAAATTCAGTGGTGCAGTGGCTCAACACACGTTCTCGGCTGATGGGTTGCACTGGAGACGTGGGTTCGAGCCCCACCTCAGCATGATTTATTGTAAAATCGCAGGACTCGAAGAGTGAAATATAAGTTCCAGCACATGTATCAGCAAGAGATCTGTGGCTCACAGGTAAGAGCGCTGCCTCACGGGTTCAGAGGTTGCTGGTTCAATCCAGCCAGATCTCCGCGATACGAAGTGAATGCTGTATGTGTGAAGGGGCGGGGATGATTCGGGTCCCCCCCCCGAGCCCCGCCACAATGTACAGTAGGGTTATGCTTTTTTATACATTAAAAATTTAGCTGTCTAAAATTTTGCCCCGCCATCCCCTTCCCCACCTATTTAGGTTCCATCATTTGCTTTTTAAAGGGGTCACCCTCCAAAAAGAAAATGATGGGAACCTACATGTTTAGTACAGTAAAACATAAGCATGTACATACCTGTCCATCAGCAGAAGTCCATCATTAATAGTCAATGTCTGTCCAACGTCCCACAGCTCTGCTTCTGATGACTGGATGTAATGGTCAAACACATTCCTTCTGTAAGGAAAGACAAAAAAAAAAGATTAGTTTTAGAAAATACTCAATATTCTACATCTATAAATGACAATGTGAAAGTTAGTC